CAGGTAGGCATCTGGGTCTGAAATGGCTAGTTAAATATTGTGAGAATCGTTTTTTGGGGTCTGAACCTGTGCCTTTGTCTCATTACCTGGAATTCCATGATTAGTTAGCGCTATTGGTCTTTTTCTCCTGGGGCTGTTTTGTTTTCCTGCTTGTCCTACTGCCACTGGAATGCTTTCTCAGGAGTCTGTGAGTGATGTAACAGATGCCACTCAGGTGTGATTCATTACCCCTCCAAGAAAATTTCATATTGTGCAGACAAGGCAGGGTATGTACTTCTGGGCCCAGTTCATGGTGCAGCTAGCTACCGTTCATTTCACTGGGGCTTGGGATACACAGCTACCGTTCATTTCACTGGGGCTTGGGCCTGGGGCCTTTCATGTGTATCCTTGAATGTGCAGGGCTAAGTACTTTGTGTGTGTGAGTGTAAAGCGTTGTCAAGTCGCAGCCAACTTATGGCAACCCTGTAGAGTTTCCAAGGCAAGAGATGAGCAGAGGTGGTTGCTCATTGCCTTACTCTGCATAGCAACCCTGGATTTCCTTGGTGGTCTCCCATCCAAATACTAACCACGGCCAACTCTGCTTAGCTTCTGGAATACAACGGAATTGGTCTAGCCTGGGCCAGGCAGGTCAGGGCAGTAAGCACTTTGCAGAAGTGTTTTTAAACCAGGCTTTAAATCATTTTTAATGCAAATGTGAAAACTACATTGGTGAGAACAATCTCAGTGTCTGCTCTGCATTCTGTCCTATTTTAGTATTCACTTGTGGTACAAACAGCTCAAGGCAGGCTTAAAGGTGACTTTTGCATATCTGTTGCTATAGACTTTATTACGCTTTATTACGCTGATAAAGGGTTGTGTTTTAAGATAATAAACTGAATTGGAAAAGCTCCCAGTTCACACCTCAGCCCTGAACTGTCTTGGAGAACCTTCCCTATGAGGAAAGGCTGACCAGTCTGGGCCTTTTAGTTTAGAAAAGAGACAACTAAGGGGGGGGATATGATAGAGGTTTATAAAATTATGCATAGGATGGAGAAGGTTGACGAAGAGAAAATGTTCTGCTTCTCTCAAAATGCTAGAACTCAAGGACATCCAATGAAGCTGTTGGGCAGTAGGGGGTCAGGACTGATGAAAGGAAATACTACTTTGCACAGAGAGTGATTAAAATATGGAATTCACTGCCAGAAGATGTAGTAATGGCCACAGGAATAAACAGCTTTCAAAGAGGTTTAGACAGATTCATGGATGATGGGTCTATCAGTGGCTACTAGCCATGGTGACTGAGAGGAACCTCCACATTCAGAGGCACTAATCCTGTGCCAGGAGGCAACATCAGGGGAACACCTTCAGCCTCTATGCCCTGTTGTCGGCCCTCCAGAGGAACTGGTTGGCCACTGTTTGAAACAGGATGCTGGACTAGATGGACCACTGGTCTGATCCAGCAGGGCTCTTCTGATGTCCTGATGTCTTGGTAGCCTTATGCAAATTATTATTTGCAGTCTCCATAGCTCCCCCTTCCCACACCAGTTTGGGGCTAATTAAATCAGTCTACCTTAAAAGGTTGGATTACTGCAAATTATATAGTACTGAGTATGAATAGCTGGCATTCATGAAAGGCAACTGAAATATTTTGTGAGGTTTGAATTATTCTTGGTCCAAGGGAGTGTGACAGGTGTCGTGCTGCTGTCAGCTTTTATTGAGAAAACTCTTTGCATTGACACTTCCTTCCACAAATGTGTGGCTTTTCCTGCAACAGCAAACTGTTAGGGATTTTGGTGTGTCTGTGCCTGCAACAGCAAACTGTTAGGGATTTTGTCTGAGTGCACCATGGTTCAGAGAAGCGCTAGCTGTGTTGTGCTAGGTTGGGGGGGGCAGATTCAAAAATGGATTGCACCTATAGGTAGATAAGAGCAGGCTATTGAGAAAACTCTTTGCATTGACACTTCCTTCCACAAATGTGTGGCTTTTCCTGCAACAGCAAACTGTTAGGGATTTTGCCTGAGTGCACAATGGTTCAGAGAAGCCGACACGCTAGCTGTGTTGTGCTAGGTTGGGGGGGGGCAGATTAAAAAATGGATTGCACCACGCGTTACTCCTATAGGTAGATAAGAGCAGGGTTTACTGTGGATGTGTGCAGAGTATAACATCCTTTGTGCTCAGTGCTGAGTGGCACTGGCATGATGCAAAGGGCTCCTGGAACTCACCCTGCACCAACTGAGGTCATTAAGCCCCCAGACCAGTGTCTGTGCTGTGAGAAATTCCTCAGCTCATCAAGCCCATTTTGGAGGAAATGGTCTGTTCCTCTTTCATACTCTGAATACAGTGACTGGATTTGCATCACAGGCTAGAAGTTACAGCTCATTAGAGGAAGTTGGGGAACACTGAGGAGAAGAAGTGTGGTGTCCTTTTGAACTTCCCCAACCCCACCTTCAGCTCCCATGATGGGCATTGATACATGGAATACATGGTGTTGGGGGGGGGGGGGGAGAAAGGTGGGAGGGGGGGGGGGGGATTCTCTTCTGTCTCTCCTCTGATTTTCTCCTGAACTATTCTGAACTGTAGTGGGGGAAAGGCTTCCATGCTTCCTGAAACATTGTGATACGTGTTCTCACCTTGTGAATGTTTGGCTGTGTTGAGATCAGGATTGGACCATTTTTCTTGTATTCACTAAAATACTTTCATCAAAGCAAAGGACACTGCTATTAACTACTTTGTCCAGCATTTTTTTTTTGTGTGTGCTTGTAAGCATCCTGGCAAAGGGGTAATAAAACTAGTCTACCTTCCAGGAAATTTTCTGAGTAAAAGACCATTAAGAAGATTCAAAGTTTCCTTTCTCTACCTGCTCTTTTAAATGAATGCAAAGGGAAGGGTAGTCAGAAGGCGTGATAGTTCATTTTCTAACAGCAATTAAAATCAATGATTTTCACCTGCAAAATGTCTTATAAATCGATTAGAATAGGCTCATATCAGAATTTCTTTTCTCTTTCCACATGTGTATTAGTGTAGGAGGGGACATGGCAGGGGTATATATCTGTGAAGGGCTTGAAGAAGAATAGCAAGAATATAATATTAATTACAAAACAAAGTAGCAGCAGCCTAGGCTGATGAAGCATGTTGGGAGGACAGGGATAGAATAATGTTCACAAGAGAGAGGCCTCCCTCCTACTACTGTCGCTTGTATACGTGACTGTTGCTGTCACCCAGAAATTCATTGACTGTACAGAGAAAGGTAGGAGTGGTAACTGGACTTGTTGGTGTCATTTTTGGGGGGCCTTCCAAATCCCTCCGCTTAGAGTGTGTCATCAACAAAACAACTTGGGAGTCAGGACAGAGTGTGATTATTGTAACATGTGAATTTACCCTGTGGCTCATTCTGTGACACCCACTTCTAGGAGATTAGTGAAGAAATGGACTTGGGAGTCAGGACAGAGTGTGATTATATTGTAACGTGAATTCACACTGTGGCCTAATCGTTACAAATGATTGTGGCTCATTCTGTGACACCCACTTCTGGGAGATTAGTGAAGAAATCGTTTCTGCTGGGTAGCTCTGTTAAGTCTGTAGCAGAACAAAATTTGAGTTCAGTAGCACCTTAAACACTAACATAAGCTTTCATGAGTCAAAGGTTCACTTGGTCAGCTATTGAGGAAGTGGTGCATTTTGATCAAGAGATGTGTTGAAATAATAATCCCATGACCAGTTCTCTATTTTGTGTGTGTGTACCTTCTCACACACCCTCTCTCACTCTGTCTGCCTCTCACACAGTGTTCTTTAAATTGGCCATTGATGTCAACTGCATGAGTAGCAAAGAAAGTGTATTTCTTGATGCTTGTGAGTGAAATTCTGCAGTTTTTCTGCTGTAAGCTACCTTTCACAGTTTTGCCATGCTGCTGATTAATGCACATTCCAACAAATTCCCTGAAAGTGATCCGTGCTGTAGGCAGGCATTTAGCTGGCACCCCATAATTGGCAGGAAGGAGGTGTAAAGCCATAAATAGGCCACCAACCATCTGGTCACTTCAAAACACCCTACATCAAAAATTGTACACTAAATATAGGTGATTTTGGTCAGGTTCCTAGCTGGCTGTTGTAGAAAGGTGGGGGAGTAGACAACTAAATGTAGGCATTCAGCTGGTCCTGAGATCTCTTTTGTATGCTACAGCCAGACTGTCCAGAAGTTACCTGTGGAGTAGAATATAGTCCTGGTGGTAGAATTCCAAGTATTCTGACTTTCTCTTTTCTATTGGCTGAATGTTTCTAGTTCTCAGGATTAGGGAGAACCATATTTTATCTTTTGCTAAAGGAGTAGAAATCCACATGGGTGGAGTCATCTTCCATTACCCTTCTTTACATTGAAAATGGGTGGAGTCATCTTCAGGCCTGCTGCCTCTTCATGAACATAATAACCATGTTAAATACGTCTGTAGGGTCTACTCAAGAAGTTACTCTGTGCCTCTGTGTAGTTTAGACCCATCCTGACCAGAAGCTACATGATTATTTAACTTGGTTGTCCAGAAAAACAAGACCATTCAGTTTCAAGCAAATCTCCAAAATACTGTATGTATTGACTTAGTGATTCCTAAATGTCATCAGAGCTGATAACACAGGCTACATATCTGCTACATGTTGTTTGAACTGGTGCGGCCCTTTGTGAAAACCATGATGCAAACAAGGTCTAAAGGTATCTCAGCAGCTGGGTGATGAGTAGGAAACAAGTGAAATGGTTTAGCCTCTTCCTTTAGCTGGGTCTGCATCTACCTGTGTATGCTAAATGAATTTCCATTGTGGGGAGGAGGTCTCTGTTCCATGCATTGGGCTGGTTATGGAGGATACTGCAGCTGTTCCTATTTGGGACCGATCCAGGCCAAGTAAGGAGTACTGAGAAGGTTAGCTTTCCTGGAACTGATTGTGCATGCAAGTCTGCCTCATTGTCTTTGTGCTTTTAGGAGCATGTCAAGCTCTCTACATCCCTTGTAAAGTTTTGCTGCTTGGTCTCCTGATAGTGAGAAGAATGGGCTCCGTTTCAGAGATGCTCGCAGTGGTCCCCCTCCACCAGAGGCCTGATCTTCTGGAATCCTGTGCTGACCTCATCAATGAAGAGTGGAAAAGGAGCAGGACTTCCCGCATCCACTCCCTACAGAGGTCCACCAATGACTTTCCCATCTGCCTGGTGCTGATTAGAACTCCAAGGGCAGAGGAGGAGGTCACTGAAGAGAAACTGGCCAAGAACCAGTGCCAGCTCCTGGGGCATGCCAGGCTATCCCGCGTGGTTGGGCACCCTAAAAGCTTATTTGTGGAGACGGTTGTGGTCCCCAAAGCTATTCGTGGAAAGGGTTATGGGAGGAAACTGATGGAAGCTGTTGAGAGTTACGCCAAGGCCCGTGGCTACAGTCATCTGCACCTCACCACCCATGACAAGCAGCATTTCTATGCCCACCTAGGCTATACATTGTCTAAGCCTGTTCAGTGTGCAGGATTTGTGAGTTCTCTCATCCCTTTGGAGTTTTTAGAGAGCTTGTCTCCTTCTCAGCATGCAAGATCTGGAAAAAACAATCCAGGTGCATCCAATGGTAGCAAAGCTGGAGCAAATCTCTGTCCATTACCCTCTTTCTCCTCCTCTTTCTCCTCCTCTTTATCCTCATTAGCTCCACCACCACCATCACTACCACCCCCTCCACTGTATCCTGCTTGCTCTCCTGACTCAGTAGATGTTACTATTTCTTCCTCTCCCCAGCTAGCAGCTTCTTCCCACAGCTCCTTTTCCCAGCCCATTAATGCTACAATTCAGCCATCCCAATCACCCTCTGTATCGCTCTTTGCAAATTCCTTTAGTGCCGCAACTGCCCCACCCCCTCCTCCACCACTGCCTCCTCCTCCTCCCCCTTCTGAGCTTCCACCTGTGACCCATTTGCCAGGCCTGCCAAGTTCCTGTAAAAGTGCTGCCTCCTGCCCACCAGAGGACAAAAGCCAGAATCAGATGTTTCTAGAAACACCATATCACGACCTCAAAGGGTCGGCCTTGCCTGGGCCATCCGTCAGATCTTCTAAACTTAAGAGCTTTGTTTTTAATTTTAAGGGGAGAAATATAGCTGAAATACACCAACATCAAGATAGGGAACTGGGGCCATTACCTGGATAGCCCAGGCCAATCTCGTCAGATTTCGAAGGCTAAGCAGGGTCGATGGGAGACCTCCTTGGAATACCAGAGCCGGGAGGTAGGGGCAGGCTTTATTCAGCCATCTCTCTGAATATCCAATCCCAACAAATTTGCTCTCTTTATCAGAATCCTTTTTAGAGAGGAGCCGAAAGTGAAGCCATTTGAGGGACAGAGATCCATATAGCTGAAATATATTTGAAAGTTTTCACACATAATTTCCATTGTATCTCAGTGGTTGTTGCCTTAGCCAAACGGATAAGCTGTAGTGAACTGTATACTGCAGGTTCCTTTGTCTACGTCTGATTTTCTTTTACCAATAAACAAATCACCTCACCATTTACTGCTTGTTTAACATGTCATGATTAGTAATGTTTCGTTCAGATTTCCCCATGTTTCAGATCTCTCCAATTCCAGTCCTATTATGTTGCTGATTTGATGTCTCACCCTGTTGATTGCATTGCCTTGTGTAATCTGCCTTGAATCTCACTGAGAAAGGCGGTAAATAACATAAAAGGACTATAAATAACATAAACAAATAACATCTCAACAGTTCCACTGAATCTGCAATGGGTACAAAAACATACACATTCCAGGGCCCACAATATTAATGCAGATGTACAAAGAGATAAGTTAATGCAGATGAACGGCATTGCCTTCCCCTCTGTTAGAAGTAATCTATGTCTGTATGTGGAAGTGGGAGAATCAAGAAGAAAATATTTGTTTTATGGGATATTGTTAAAGCAAGCCTTCCCTTCATAAATGTATCCACTCCTAAGCTGAAACACTATAATTCTTGGCCTTTAAAAATCTTTATTATTCAAGACAGAATTGTTAAATACCTAGAAGAACAAGAATTGCTGAAGAGGAATTAGTATGGCTTCTGTAAAGGAAAATTCTGCCTCACCAACCTCTTAGACTTACTCGAGTGTGTCAACAAGCATGTAGGCAGGGGTTACCTAGTAGACTCTAGATAATTGGACTTCCAGAAAGTGCTTGACACGGTGTCTCACCAAAGACTTTTGAATAAACAGTTGTGGAATAAGAGTACAGGTCCTTTCATTAATTAGTAACTGGTTTCAAAAAAGGAAACGGAATCAATTAACAGTTTTGTGATGGAGAGGGGTGAGTAGTGGGGTCTGTTGGGGAATCTGTTGGGACTGGTGCTATTTATTTTCTTCATATATGACCTGGAAATCAGGGTGAATGGTGAAGCAGCAAAGTTTGCACCTGACGCTCAGTTACTCGGAATGCTGAAAACAGCTACAAAAGAACCTCTCCAAATGCATTAATGGGCAATGGAATGACAGACAAAAACCATTGTTGAGTGCAAAGCGTCTGGGGTGAAAATCCAGTTTCACATATATTGTGATGGGGCTTAAACTGGTGGAGATAGACCAAGAAAAAGACGTGGAGTGGACTTCTGGTAGATAATGCAACAGCGGCCATAAAAGCAAATTTCCTGTGACAGATCATCAGGAAAGAGATTAAGAACAAAACTACCAGTGCTACCCCCTTTTGATAGCTAACCTGTTTTTCTTCCTTAAAATCAGCTTCAAGGTTTGAGCCCAACTGTTTCATAAACTTCTTTGACTGCCACAACTCTGCCTTTATGTGTGTTGCTAGTGTGGCCACATTTGGAATGCCGTGTACAGCTCTGTTTTGTTGTTCAGTCACACAGTCGAGTCCGACTCTTCACAACCCCATGGACCACATCATGCCAGCCCCTCCTGTCTTCCTTCAGAGTTTGCCCAATTTCGTGTTCGTTGCATTGATAACACTGTCTGTTTACTGTATCACAAAAAGGATATGGAAGAGGTGGCAAAAGTGCAGACAAGGGCAACCAAAATAATCACAAAGTTGGAGCCCCATGCCCTGTGAGGCAAGGCTAAAGCATTTGGAAACTTTTAGTTGGGGGGGGGGAAGACTGAAGAGATATGGCAGAGGTTTACAAAATTCTGCAAGGTGTAGAAAAAATGGATAGAGAAACTTTCTCCCGTAATACTGTGACACTGGTTGGCAGTAGATTCAAGACAGACAAAAGGTACTCTTTCATATAGTTTGCTTCTGGAACTCACTGCCATAAAATGTAGCAATGCCCACTGACTGGAGGGGCTTAAAAGGGGGTTGAACAGACTTGCAGAAGATAACTAAGGCATTGGCTTTTAGCCATCAGAGTTTAATAGGCCCCTCTGCAAATGCAGAACACCGGTAATTGTCAGATGCTGGAGAGTAGTCAGCAGGTGAGGGCTGCTGTCTGTGGGCCCTGCTTTCGGGCTTCTCTGTAGCATCCAACTGTCCACTGATGGAAACAGGATGTTGGTCTGATCTGTCTTCAGCAGGTTCTGGAAAGGTGGCATATAAAATTTCTAAATAAATAACTATGGTTTGCATGAAATGTGTTTGGATATCAAAGATGCCAGACCACAAGCTGGTAAACATGCTGCTATGTATCTTCAGTTCCATTTGGTCAATTTATGGCGCAGGATTAGAAGTGCAACAGAACGAGCTCATTTTCAGCTAACTGAAAGAGCAGTGTATAACAGAAAGAGAGTGTTTAGAGTACGTGCAATAACAGCCCTTCAAGACCAGTTGTTGCTTGAGTTTAGAAGCTGCATACCATTTCTGATGGATTCTTGCTGGGCAGGATTTGTGCAATGTGAAGTAATTCTCAGCCAACATGAAGTAATTTTCAGGAACAGTTTAACAGTTTATCAGAACTGCTAGTTTCACATTGGGAAACATTGTTACGTACCGAAGGGGAAATTTTGAATGGATTCCAGCAATTCTGTTATCAACAACATAATTTAAAGGTTCTGAAATTATAAATGTAGTGACAATTTTACATAAAGATGTATTAATTAAGGTATGCCTCATTTGATGGTGGCTCAAGTGGTTATGACGCTGAACTGCAGGGTGTGGAAGGTCGGTAGTTCAGCAGTTCGAGACCCAGGTGCCGCATGATGGAGTGAGCTCCCGTCTCTAGTTCCAGCTCCTGCCAACCTAGCAGTTCGAAAGCAAGAAATTGCAAGTAGATAAATAGGTACCACTTTGGTGGGAAGGTAACAGCGTTCCGTGTGCCTTGGTGTTGAATCATGCTGGCCACATGACCACGGAAACGTCTTCGGACAGTGTTGGCTCTTCGGCTTTGAAACGGAGATGAGCACTGCAACCCTAGAGTCGGACTCGACTGGCTTTCGAGCAAGGGAACCTTTACCTTTTACCATTAGATGGTAGTGAATTTAATTCATTTTGTTGTTCAACCAAAAAGGTTTTAACCACTTTGTTTTTCTGGTTATAAACACAGAGACACGTGTTTAATTTACCCTGGTCTGTCCACTTGCTCTTTATCATTAATAAGACATTTCCCTGTGAGCACTTTACTGTTATGAATGCAGGAAGTGATTAGTTAGTCTATGTGTAATTACAATATTTCTCTCTAACTTCAGTGGAACGCATCCCACCCCCTGCAAAATTATGAAGAAGTTGTATTATGAAACATTGAGCCTATTTAGATGAAATTGTCAAAAGGTCACTTAGCCCAGCCTGGGCCAAGAATCTTTTGGTACACGGCTGCAACACAAATTTACAAAACTCTGGAGTCTGACTGTTCACACACCAGCTTGGTAGTCTGCCACCAGCCCCTTTAACTACCCCAATAGTTAGAGGCCAAAGGGCAAAGCTTCTAACCTTCCTGGGTCTAAACCAGAAAGTCCACTCTGCAAGGTAGACTCACAGAAGGAATTTCTCTCAAAAGACCATTACAATGGTAGGTAGTCTGGCAGTCAAGGCTCTGGATTTAGATTGAGGACTGGAAAGCAAATAACCACAAAAATACATGAAAATATACTTTTTATTAAAGTGCAAGAATTCTTTAAACAGGAACAAAGGACTGTGAGGATAAAATAAAAAACTAGAGATGTAAAGGTTTGGTTCCAAGTTACAAGATGTTACCCATTCTCAGATGGAAGGTCCAGTAATCCAAAGTGGCTCTACTCCTGAGTCACCACAGGCCAGAGCTGAATGGCCCATGCAAGCAAGTGTCCAAGATGGCTGATGTGAGCAAGAAGGTGTCTACATAGCTAGGTCGCAAGCAGCCATCATCAAGCTGAGAGTAGACTAGAACCATAATTCTTTATGAGTAAGGGGCCCTTGTGGTTCCAGGCCTGTGAACCAATAAGATCCCTCAGTAATGACACATAGCCAAAGTGTTGAACCAATGGCTGAACAGGTGACCTAAGCAGTGGTCTAACCTGATAGGAAAGAACAAAGCCAATCTGCAGCTAGGCTTGGCCCCTTTCCCACAGGTGGAAATCACTAACTTAATTGAAAGGGCTGTGGCTATTTGGGAAGTCAGTACCAGGCTTCTCACTCCCCTCTGCAGCTGTTGTTATCTAGGCTGCCCAAGGTCACTGTGGTCTTTCTCAGCAAGGTAGTTTTGAACTCTGTTT